GGCCCCCCCCTCCCCCCATTCTCCAGAGATCCCAGGGCTCTGGTCTGGCCCCTTTGCTTGGCTCCCTCCAGACAACCTGTCCCTGCCCCACGGCACCATCTGCTCCCACCCAACCCCAAGGAATCACTCACAGGGTGGGGTCCAGCCGGGAGCCGTCCAGCCAGGCCCAGGGCTTCCTTGGGGGGAGGAGGGACAGCCCCACCCACATCAGCTTGGAAGCTTGGGTCAGGTTCTGGAGGGCCGCCTGCGGGGAGAGGGTGACAGGCAGCTGGGGACCGGACCCGGCGCCTGCCTCTTCTCTCGCAAACCCAAGTCTGTTTGCCAAGCCCCAGACATGCCCCTCCCCTGGTCTGCCCATCCTGGCATCTCTGCTCCCAGTGCACCCCTCACGGCATCACCCCACACCTGCCACTCCCTCCACCTGCCCCAGATACAGCTCCCCGGCCCTGCCCACACATCCCTTCTCCCGCCCTCCCTGCTCTTTCTCGGACGCCGGGGGCTAGTGATTCAGCCGGGGAATGTCGACCCTGTCTAGGGGATTTGGACACCCCGTTATTAATCAGCATTAGGAACAGGTGCCCAAATCCCCTAGGCTGCCAAATCCTTTCCCCTCCTCCCCGGCATGTATCTAAGAAGTCCCCAGGGCTTTGTGCCCAGGGTACCACCCGGCAGGGGCAGCCCCAGCTGGGGTGTTACCGGCTCCTTTACCAGCTCCTCCTGGTCCCGGATCACCAGCAGCTGGGAGCCCCTCGCGGCGCAGTCGCTGCGGCTCTCGTCCCAGGGTTTGATTCCCGTGCCGACCCAGTAGCACTTGTCCCCGCGCAGCCGCCAGTCCGTGGGGCAGAGTTTGCACCCGGCGCCCCCTGCAGAGAGACGGGCCCCATTAATGCTCTGAGACCCACTTCCGGCTCCTCCCTTCCAGGGGGAGAAAACGGGTCTGAGTCCCTTTGGGACTCCCTCAGAATCGGTCTTGCCTGGCCCCTGGCATCAGCTAGAGCAGCCTCGAGGCTGCTCAGTGTTAAACTATCTCCCCCTGCGGCGGAGAAAACCCACAGGGCACCACATGCAAGCCTGCAACCTGCCCCCTACATTGGGGACTGGCTCAGGGCGACTCATCCCTGGTGCAGTACTGGGCGTGGCCACTAGGTGGCGCTATCCTGCAGCCAGGCCTAGCGGAGACAGGTAGGTTCTGAGTGGGGCTGGGGGTGAGTGTGGGGCAGCCAGTAGGGGACGGCGTGTCCCTGCCCTGCCGGATCCCCACGGCCTGGCCCAGCAGCTGGGTTCCCCCTGGCAGTGCCCGGGGAGGGGGGCTCAGACACACCCACGCTGGGGTTACCTGCTGGGCTGGGCTGGGCCGGGGGGCAGAGCTGGGATCGGACACGCTCCAGGTGGGCGCTGTAGGCTGCTGGGCTGGGGTCCTCGTTCCCAGGGGGTGTCGCTGCATCTCTGCTCCCAGCTCCGCCGCTCCCAGGGGTTTCTGGGGTCCAGCCCTTCTCGGGCACCAAGTGGAAAACTGCAAAGCATTGTGGGTAGGAGTGAGGGGACCGGTCAGTGTGACGGGGATTGGTGGGTAAAAGCCCCAGCAGAGCCCGGCAGAAATCCAGGTACTGCCCAAAAATCAGTTCGGTCTCATCTCCCCTGACTCCCCTGGGCTTCGGAGCAGCCCACCAAGGAAAGTCTGCAAAAGTGACGGGAATTGAACATCACTGGGAATTAGGTGTCTAAATCCCATGGGCCTCCGTGAAACCCAGCCCATTTTTCCATCCTTTCTCGCCATGCAAACACCCCTCCCGCAAAACCACCTTCCTCAGGCTTGCCAGACGGGCTCACACCCGGGGCCCATCTAACCCGGTATCCCCTCTCCGGGATGAGCAGCAATTTAATTTGGCACCAAACCCTTTTCATCTTAAAAAAATTTCAAGGCGTCCCTAGGATTGCCAGGGTAAAATTTGTCAAGTGCACAAAAAAAAAAAAAAGCTGGAAAATAGACTCTGTCTCTTTAAGAGGGAGTGGGGGAGCACTAATTGGGAAACACTTCTGTAGGGTCCTGACCATCTGGTTGGCCTCGCTTCCCAAATACGTATCCTGATCCTTCACTGAGCCCCGCTGAGCTCATGGTCCGGGTTAGATCATGTGGCAGGGAGTTCCACAGGCTAACCACTGATTTTTATGCTACCCCTCAATGCCAATGGCCGTCCCTCCCCCAGGGCAGCTTCCACCCTGCAGACTGACACGCTGCAACTTCTACTGACTCACCGCACAGCGCCAGCATTAGCACCGCCACGGCCAGGAGGAGATTCCCGGCCCCCAGAGCGATCTGGGGCCAGCCCGGGCTCCGACGGGGACCTGCAGGGACACATAAGCAGAGCCAGGCCAGGTGAAGACCCAGCCATTCTAGATCTGGGAGTCGGGTGATGGTACCAAGGTCTCGCTGTCACTTACAGGAGAGAGGCGCAGACTGGAAATGTGACCCCCTTGTTACTGACACCCCCACGCTGCCGGGGCCTGCAGAGAGCCTGCCCCACTGGCTGAGACCCGGCCTCTGCCCCATGAGTCCCCAGACTTGCTGCTCCGGAGGCCTGGTCAACCTGGTCTGGTTTCTATCACCAGGAATGGGCCGGAACTGAGATCTGCTGGGGGTCGGGCCTCCTGGGTTCTATCCCTGGCTCTGAGGGGAGTGGGGTCCAATGGTTAGAGCAGGATGGGGCCGGGAGCCAGGCTTCTGTGAGAGTCTCTGGTGTGGAAGGAGAGTGAGGTTCAGGGGGGCTAGAGCCGGGGGACATGGGAGCCAGGCCTTCTGGGTTCTTGTCTGGAGTGGGGTCTACCCAGTCAGAGCAATGGGCTGGGGTGGAGGGTCTGGGCCTATTCCTGGCACCAGGAAGGGAACGGGGGTCTAATCATTTTTCCCTGCCCTGTGCCTCAGTTTCCCCCAAGTAACCCACCTTTCTGGAGGGGAAAGCTCCCCGTTATACTCTCCCTTTCTCCGTGGCACTAACCCACCCCGGCCAGACTCTGCCGCCCCCCCGGCCCGTCTCTGGGGCACCAGCCCCACCCTGGCCCTGCTGCCGGGACGCAGAGCCACAGGTGGGGGGTGAAATCGCTACCTGGGTTCCCGGCTGGGGCTGAGTCACCCATGTCGCTCCGCTTGGGCCGCAGGTTCAAGGCCGTGTAGCCCTCCTCGTCCTCCATCCGCGCCAAGAGGAGGCAATGACGGGGCGGACGGGCGCCGGGGGGCAGGGCTGGGCTGGGCGATTGCACAGGAAGCTGAGATGCAGGGCTGAAGCCGTGTGGTTGGTGGGGTGAAGGTCACGGGCCTCTCGCAGCTCGGGCGGATGTTGGCTCTGCCCTGCACAAGCTCCCAAGTAGCATCAGACTCCCCCCTCCCCGGGGCCGCTGCCTCCCCTGCCCCAGGGGGATCGGCTGCCCT